TGTCACTTCGCTGGAAGAAGGGCAGGCTCTAGAGGGTGGTTGGGGCCTCCCGCCCCGTTTGCTTTGCCTTCAGGGATTGCAACCTGCTGCCACCGTAGCAGCCCCCTGAACATCAGTGCTGCGGGGTGTTAGAGGTTCCCCCGTCCTCACCGGGAGTTGGATCAGCAGTGGGAGAGAGCAGAGCACGGATAAGGTGGGCAGGCAGAGTGCAGGAACAGCTGAGCATCTGCTTGCAATCTCAGGGATTTGTCGCCTTTCAAACTTGCTTTTTGGGGGCAGAAGCGCGCTGCCACCTCTGTGTCCAGCGCTGTGCGCTCCGTTCTGGTGCAGGGTGAGGATGGAGTTAACCACAGAGGTGTCTCCTGATCTGAAGGCCAGATGTCCTTTAAAGCAGCTTGGAAGGCTTTTGTTGACGTACTAAAGCCTGAAAAGTCCCAGTGCACATTAGAAAATTGTGTCTCTCTTACAATGAAGCTCTCTGTTCCCACGGGTGGTGTGTTGGGACAGGCCGTCCTCAGGGGAGCATGGGACAACGTGACAGCCCTGCCTTCTACAAGGGCCCTGCTCTGCCCTGGGGCTGCCCTGACTGTGGCTTTCCGTGGCTCCTGACCAGCTCCAGGGCAGCGCAGAGCCCCGACCAAGGTCTCTAGGATCTCCATTATCTGGGTTTGTTCTCACCTTTGGGAAGGGCTTGCCCTGCAAGAGGGGACTCCTGGGGACTGTCTCCAGGCTCTTTGATGCCTGCTGGGTTTCCAGACTCCTCAGGGGTGTCTCTGAGATGAGTGATGGTGCCCTGTTAGCATCCCCCCCATTTGCCCATTCCAAAAAAGGGTGCTGAGGCTGCGGCACAGCAGAGGGATTGCTGCAGGATCACCTTCTGTTCTGTTTGCATAGGGAGTCCTCACGCGTTTCAAGGGACCTCTCATCCACACCTACAACAAGAACAACAGCGTCCTGCAGGGCACGGAATATTTCCAGCAGCTGAGCACTAGGACGAGCATCATCTTGCTGGGGGACTCCATGGGTGATCTGACGATGGCAGATGGGGTTCCCAGTGTGGAGAACATCCTCAAGATTGGCTTTCTCAATGACAAGGTGGGTGTGAGAAGCAGTTGTCTTGCTTCCCTGCCAGTCTTCCCCAGGTGTGAAGCCTGAGGGGCAGCAGGGAGGGGCAGGCAGCTGCCTGAGTGATTCAGGGAATGCGAGAGATTTGTACAAGCTTCCGTGGGGTGTGCGGAGGGAGCTAGGGGTGTCTGCTGAGCTCCCAGTGCACCTGGGGCTTTGTCAGGGTGGTTATTGACCCCTCTTTTCGGTAGCGTCAAAAGATGCAAGGGCTGTGGGTGCAGCATCTTCACTATCAGCTGCCGGTATCTACCGTCCTCTTCTCTCTCTGTGGCCCTCTCCTCTCCACTCCGTTCCGGTGGCTGTGCTGCAGGTGGAAGAGCAGAGGGGGAAGTACCTGGATGCCTACGACATTGTGCTGGAGAGCGATGAGACGCTGGACGTGGTCAACGGGATTCTCCGGTACATCCTTATGGAGAGATGAGCTGAGAAAGCAGCATCCCAGCTCCAGCCCCTCAGCAAGAGAAGGCAGTGAAAGCCCTTCCCTCGACAAAGCTGGAGTGGATCTTCTGGTACCTGCTGGACTCCATCCTGATGCTGGGCAGGCTCCCTGCCGTGGCTCTCTCGTGTGTTGTGCACATCCCAACCTCACTAACCCCCTTCGGTCAGCCCTGGAGTGCAAGGGGTGAGATGGAAGAAGCTTCTCCACTCCCTTTACCCCACCTGTGCCCAGCTTTGCTGCATCCCTCTCGGACTTCATCCCTCTCGGACTTCATCCCTCTCGGACTTCATCCCTCTCGGACTTCATCCCAGCCAGTGCCTGAGGCCACAACAAACCATTTCGAGTTTCAGGTAGAGATGTTCTGCGCTTGCTTCAGCGGCTGCGCGCAGAAATGGAGATGGCTTGCTGTGGCTTGAGGACAGACCTGTTTTAAATGGAAGCTTTTTATTTTTACTGTGGTCCTGTCTAAGAAAACAAGTCTCTCTCTTCTCCTATTTTCTGTGGGCTTCAAAGTGCCCGGGCTGAGCTCCGGTGGTGCCACCCATGGATGGGCTGGCATGGCCCTGCCAGGCGTAGCATCACCCAGCCCTGCATCCCCCGCAGAAACCCTGAAGGTCCTTGGCCCCCGTGTGCCCCAGCCCTGCTGTCCTTCTTGCTCCTTTACAGCTCTTGCTGTAAAAACTGCTTTTCTAGCCATCCCCACAGGCCCGCGAAGCTCATCTGATGCGGCTGCACAAAGCAAGAAGTAAGTTGGTCTGCCGCGGGTTGGGCTGGGGGGGTTTGGGTGGCAGTGGCACAGCGAAGCTGGGTGCTTGGAGCAGCGCGTTTGCAGCCCGCGGGTGCGCACTGGAGAGGCCAAGGGCAGCACTTTGGGTTTTTAAGGAATATTTTAGCTATAACCATATTTCTGTCTTAAACTGCTGGGCTTGTCCTGGGCTCTCAGAGCAGCATGGAAGCCTCTTATTTCTGTGCAACCTCTGGTGATGTAAAGAGTAAAGCTATGACAGCCCCGATTCAGCAAGGGGCAAATTGCTGAGCAACCTGATCTAGTTAGCGGTGTCCCTGCTCCTGCAGGGGGGTTGGACTAGATGACCTCTGGGGGTCCCTTCCAGCCCAAAACATTCTATGATTCTAAATTCAGACCCTTACTGGGAAACTGCTTCCATGTCCCGTCCTGCCGCCTGTGCTGGTGCAGGGTGAGCTCGAACACAGCTCCTGGGGGCCGGGATCGTTGTGGTGTGACCTGGCTCTGGGCTGCTCTGGGTTCAGCCCTTGCTTGCTGCCCTCTACATTGTGGGATGAGTAAATGTGACTTCTGACAGTGCAGAGCTCCATTCTCCTTGTCGAAATAAAAACATTGGCTAAAGCTGGGCCCCGGGTGGTTCCTACCCAGCTCCTCTGGCTGGAGCCCCTCTCCTCCCCGGGGCTGGCAGCTCCATCTCCGCTCCCCAGCTCCAGGTCATCCCCATCCCTGCTGGTGCCCGCCAGCCCTCACCGGGCGCTCTGTGCTGGAGCTGAAGCATGATCTGTCTGTTCTGGTGGATCCTAGGCGCAGAGTTTTGGTTTCTGTCTCTCCTGCCTGACCCAGCAGGTGCTGGAGTCTGAAATCCCCCTGGGCACCGCGCTCCCAGGGACGAGCAGGGCTTGCCTCCGCGCCGCTGCCCCCGGACACGCGGGAATGTCTCATGGCAAAGTAACCCGATACAAAGGCACGCTCCTTGGAAACCAGTAGAAATGATTTATTTGGTGCAAGGTAAAAGTCGTCGTTCGAGGGGTTCACTCTGACCCTTTGCACTGTTCCGTTCTTGCATTTCTTTTCTTTCTGTCTGCAAGACGCGCTGTGCAAAAGCTTTCAGAGCCGGTGGGAGGTGATGGAGCCGTGCTGGTCACGGCTGGCAAACCTGAGAGTGCCGAGTTAATTAGCTGCATTTAGGCATCAAAATAAAATTGGGCTGATTTTTTCTCAATCGCTGAGGGCTGTCACTGCAGGGTGGGGAGGATGCGGATGGGGACAATGCTGCTCCCTGAGGGCCTGGGAGGGAGAGGCTTTCTGTTTGCCTTCTCCCAGCTGATAAGGGGTTTGCCAGGTCCCACCCCAGCTGCCTTGGGGGGCCTCAGGCTTTCTGGAACGGCGGATGCCTGTGGAGTATCGGGGTTTTGCTCTGGGAACCTGAGCCCCCTCCAGCCTCTCATCCCAGGGAGGATGGCAGCGGGGAGCAGGCTGGGCCAGCAGCAGGGACCGGCATTGATGGCTTCTCTTTATTTCTCCTCTCCTTTAAAGAATTTTATATGTGTATATTAAAAAAAAAAAAACCAACAACCCAACACCCCAACCCTAAACTACAAAATGCTGCGGTAGAAGTGGCGGGGAAGCCCCCACCTCCCTCCTGCCTTGCCCGCCCCGGGAGGCGGCGCGGGCAGGCGAGGAGGCTGGAGCGGGACGTGCAGTCGCTGGCTGAGGACGAAGGGGCTTGGGAAGGGAACGCCGCTGCCCCGGCCCTTCCCTGGGGAGCTGAGAGCAGGGGTCGAAGCAGGGTTTGGCAGCAGAGTGGGGCAGGGCAGGGCTCCAGGGCTTGGCCCTGGCATCCTCGGTCCTGCTCGATGGCAGAGGTATCGTCTGCAGAGCCGGGGAGCACGAGGGGACAGGCAGTGTTAGGAAACATGGGCGCTGCCAGCCCCGTGGGGTATCGAGGCTCCTAAGAATGTGGGTGCTTCCCACCTTCTTGCCTGGGTTTATTAGCTGGGGGTTGGTGAGTTTTCCTGCCCAGAAGGAACACATCAAAAAACCCTCAGTTAAATAATAGGGTAAAAAAAGACCAAACCAAAATATGCCTTTCCCCAGGGCTGGGGAGGGGCAGGGGCAGATTCCCAGGGTGTCTTCCTGGGGCGGCCGGTGGGGATGAGTCCTGTCTCCGGGGGAGAGTGGGGTCTGCTCCTCAGAGCTCCTCATGGATCTTCTCCTGGTCCTCATCCGACTTCAGCTTCAGCTCCTCGGAGGTGATCTTCCCGTCCTGGTTGCGGTCCTGGTTCCTGAACATGTCGGCGATGACTTTCTCCGGGTCGGAGCTGGGCATGAGGCGGCCTTTCCCTTCCGCCACCTGGGCCTTGATGAAGGTGGAGAACTGCAGCGAGGAGAGAAGAGAGATGCTGCTTTGCTCCACATGACTGGCACCAGGCATGGCAGGGAGCACCGTGGCCCACACCAAGGGCAGCAGCCAGGCCACCAGGATGGGGCAGGGACAGGAGCACGGGCTGCCCTCGGTGTCCCTGCCTGGTCACAGCCCTGCCTGCATCCAGCAGCGATGCTCTGGGCTGCTGTGCATTTTCTGCATAGCTCTTCAGGCTGCCAAGTGCCCAGGGACAGCAGTGCCCTTCAGGTGCTGCTCCCTGGGCTGGGGTCCCCTGCACCCCCGTTTCCTCCCACGCCCCAAAAGCCCACACTCTGGCGGCGCTCGGGGCCCTCGCTCACCTCGTCGGCAGGGATCTCCCCATCCTTGTTCAGGTCCATTTGCTCGTAGAGGCTCGGCGGCGGCTCCCCGTGCCAGATGAAGAGGTAGCCCTCAGGAACCCCCTCCTCCATGGAGATCAGCTCCACCTCGAAGCGGAGCACGGCCGAAGGGGCCCAGCAGGGATTCAGCAAGGCAGACCCCCCCCGGTTTGCATTGCACAGGCAGCCGCACGCCGCTCCCCTACCTCCGCTCTCCCCGTGGCCCAGGTGGGGGGGGATGATGAGCACCCGCCTCTCGCCCACGCACATGTTGAGGAGGCCACTGTTCAGGCCCTCGATCACCTTGTTGGCCCCCAGAGTCACCTCCTGGGGCTTCTCGTAGTCATGGCTGCAGGAGGCAGAGAAGACCACGCGGCTGAGAAAGCCCCTCGGACCCAGCAGGCAGCCCTGCCATGCCCCAAAATCCCATGCCCTCCATCCCACTGTGCCCCAAAATCCTCTGCCCTCCATTCTGCCATGCCCTGAAGTCCCACGTGCTCCACTATCCCAAACCCCTGCACCATCCCTCCCGCTGCGCCCCAAAATCCTGCACCCTCCACTTTGCAGCAAAATCCCCGCTGCCCCACAGCCGCGCAGCCCATGCTCCGGTGCTGCCCAGTGCAAAGAGCTGATGCTCCCAGCCCTGCCCAGCGCCTGCCAGGATTTGGCCCTGTGAAGGAAAAGGTGTGCTCAGGCCAGCCCGCCAGCGAGCACGCACGAGGAGAAGAGCTTGGTGCCGTCCAGCAAAGAGCAGTTGTAGTGGTAGTGGATGAAGTCTCTGTCGCGGGTGGTGACGTTGCAGTCCTCGGGCCGGTACACGGTCTCGATCTCCACTGGGTCCTCAGGGTTGTGGAAGTCGATGATGTGGACGTCGAAGATGAGCACAGCTGAGCCAGGAATTTTGTCCCCTGGAAGAGGAGCACGAGGAGAGCTGCTGGGAGAGCTGCTGGAGTGCCGCGGGGCCGGTAAAGCTTTTCCCTGCTTTTTCCCATGCCCTGTGGCTGTGTCCATCCCTTGGAGCCCTGGCTCTGCATGTGTTGGCATCAGCCTTTCCCCTGCCCACGACACCCCCTCCAAACACCCAGAGCCCTCTGGGTGGAGGTGGCCCCTGGGGCGAGGAGCTGGCCCCACTTGGCCAGCACTTTCCTGATGACGGACCCCCCGTGCGCAGGGTTGGAGGAGGGGGTGCCGCAGCCCGGGGCTGGGCCGTGCGGGGATGTCGGACCCCACGGGGCTGCCCTTTACCTGCTCCGTTCTCCCCGTAGGCCAGGTGCGGGGGGACGACCACCCGCCGCCTCTCTCCCATGCAGACCCCTTGCAGGCCCTGGTCCATGCCGGGGATGATGTAGCCCTTCCCGATGTAGTGCGCAGGGTTGGAGGAGGGGGTGCCGCAGCCCGGGGCTGGGCCGTGCGGGGATGTCGGACCCCACGGGGCTGCCCTTTACCTGCTCCGTTCTCCCCGTAGGCCAGGTGCGGGGGGACGACCACCCGCCGCCTCTCTCCCATGCAGACCCCTTGCAGGCCCTGGTCCATGCCGGGGATGATGTAGCCCTTCCCGATGTAGGTGTTGTAGGTTTGGTTGCGGGAGTAGCTGCAGCGAGAGAAGCCCCCGGCGCCATTGTGCAGGAGAGCCTGGCCCCTCCATCCCCCCCCCCTCTGCTGGGGATGCAGCAAACAGGTATTGTCTTTTTTAGCCTATTTTGTGCCCGTTACCACCCTCTCCTCCACCTTCCCCCCGATTCTCCAGCCTCTCCTTGCAGCCTGCTGGAGCACAGGGTGGGAGAGGACGTTGAGGGATCTTGGCCGCTTCCCTCCCCACACCTGGAGTCAAAGAGCGTCCCGTCCATGAGCGTGCCGTTGTAGTGGTAGCGGACAAAGTCCCCGGTCACAGCCCTGCGCTTGCAGGACTCTGGCACCTCAAGGTGCTCCAGGAAGACGCCGTCCTTGGGGTTGTGGAAGTCCACCAGCAGCACACTGAACACCAGCGAGGCCTGTGGTGGGATCACAGTTCCTGGGGAGGGGACACAGGTCAGCCCGGACAAGGGTCCTGATGCACCGTGGGGGGCTCTGCGCAGACCTGGGAGGGAAGGGACTGGGTGCAATGGGGCCATGCCCAACTCACCGTAGCCCTTCTCTCCATAGGCAAGGAATGGGGGGATGATGATGCTCCTCTTCTCCCCGGCACACATGCCCAGCAGCCCCTGGTCCATGCCCTTGATCAGCCAGCCAGTGCCCACGTAGGTGTCGTAGGTGCTGTCCTTGCTGTAGCTGGTGGGGAGGAATGAGGGGGGGATGGCTCCAGGGCCATGCCAGCTCCCCTGGCTGTTTTGGGGGTCATGGAGCTGCACCAGCCTTGCTGGGGTGCAGGGAGGGAGAGCATGGGGGGGAGGCTGCTCAGACTGGGGTGCAGCATGGGCCCCCATGAGCTGCCCCAGGCCAGCGTCTCCTGGTCCCTGCCACCCCTGCTGCCCCCAGCCCCAAAGCAGAGGGTGCACCTGAGCTCCAGTGCCCTGTACCCCAAGGCGAGGGCACATCCCAGTGCCGGTGCCTCGTACCTGGAGTCAAAGGGGGTCCCATCCAGCAGCGTGCCATTGTAGTGGTACCGCACAAAGTCCGAGTTCTCCACTGTGCGGTTGCAGCGCTCGGGTTTGGAGAGGGTGGTGATCTGCAGCTTGTCATCCTTGTTCCAGATGTCCAGCATGACGACGTCGAAGTACAAGGTGGCATCTGGGGGGATCAGCCCCGCTAAAGGGGCAGCAGCAAGGACAGAGCACCTTAGGTGGGACCAGCGCCAAGCCCAGGCAAGCCAAGGGCTCTGTCCCCTAATGTCCCCCTGAGCACGTGGCTGCCTGGGACTGCTGGCCACACATGCCAGCCCCCGGGAAAGCAGCAGAGTCCTGGCAATGGAGACGCCCCTCGCCAGCTGGGCTCCGGACCTCTGTCCCTGCTAATGTCAGGGGTTTGGTCCCTCTGTTCCCCCGCCGTGCCGCAGCCCCTTACCCACGCCGATGCTGCCGTAGCCCAGGTGGGGGGGCACAATGAGGTGACGACGTTCGTTCACGCACATGCCCTGCAGGCCCCGGTCCATGCCGGTGATCAGCCGCCCGACGCCCCCCCCCCCGGCCACCGTGGCCCCTCGGTCGTAGCTGGGGCGAAGGGACAGACCCATCAGTGGGGCGCAGGCAAAGGGCAAAGCCCCCAAAGCCACCGGCACTGGGGGTGCTCAATGCCAGCGCCGAGGGCTTGGGGTGGATCCAGAGCCAAACCACGAACCCTGCAAACTCCAAGAGACAGCGTGGGGCTCCCAGGTCCCTTCCCACTGTGGGGGCAGAGCGGGGGGACAGGGCTACCCCCTCCCCGGGGGTGTAGGTAACCCACTGCAGCCAGCGGGTCCCTGTGCCGCAGGCAGAGCCCAGAGCTCACCCCCGCAGGGAATGGCCATTGATCCTGACGGGATCAATCCTGCACCGCCCGGGGTGGAGCTGCCTCCTGTGGCACCAGTCAGGGCTCTGGCCTGACCCTGCACACCCAGCACCCTTGGATGCAGTGGAATGGGGATCCGGCCCTCTGGATGCAAAGGAGGTGGGTGATGCTTTCAGTTGGGACCAAACCCATCAACACCCTCCCCAGACCTCACTGGGCGAGCTGGGCTGGGGGCTGGCAGCTCCCGGGTTTTCTGCTGCTTCCAAATCCTTTTGCATATGGCACATTTGGAGCTTTATGCAGTAAGGAGGAAAGAAGACGTCCCAGGCCTGATTTTTAAACTGCAAATTTGTTTTTATTTTTAAATTTTAAAAAACGCCAAGAAGAAGCTGGGGCCATTTGAGATAAATTGAAATCCTTCATCCCCTTTAACGTGCAGCTGATGCTTTCTCCTGGCAGCGCGCTGCAGTCATCAGGACAAGGAATTATTTTAGCAGCGAGCATCCCCAGGCTCCCACTGCCCCTGGGGCTCGCAGCAGCAGCAGTGGCAGAGCACGGCTCCGTTCCTGGCTCCCCCATTCATGCTTGCAAAAAAGCTAAGACACATTTAACCGGAGCAGAATCCCTTTGCTTTCCAGGGCTCTGAAAAATGCCCATGTAGAAAGTTTTTGTTCCTGCGTGGGGCTGAGGCTGAGCCCCAATACAGCCCAGTTTGTTTCGGTACGTTCACCATGTGCCTGATTCTTCCCTGCTCATGGTGGTGCAAACTGGGACTGCACCAACAGAAACACTGATTTATAGCCAGGGTGAGCGGAGCAGGATCGATGCATGGGCAGAGGAAAACTAAGCCCAGCCAAAGGGCAACCTCTTAGGTAATGAACGGGTCTCACCGCTGCCACGTTTCAAAGTGCTGTAAGTGCTTCCCTGCCTGTGCAGCACATGCAAATACATGTTCCTGTGCACAGAATATCTCACTTAGGGCCAAATCCTGCCCGTGCCTGAGATGAGCTTCCCCACAGCACCCTGGAGCTGAGGGTGTGCAGGAGCCGCAGGCACCCGCAGGGCTCCGAGGGCTCCTCGCCCAGGGAGGGGGGCTGCAGCAAAACCCAGGGTGGCAGCGCTGGCGTCCAGGCAGGAGCGGCTGGAAAGGGGCTGGGAAGGGGCTGCAGCCCCAGGCGGAATGGGGGGGCTGCACTCGGCAGCTTGCTCAGGGCCACACCGGGGTCCCCTGGGCTGACACGTGTACAGGGCTCCCCGGGCTCCCTGTCCTCGCCCCCAGCACCCACCAAAAGCCCTCCTTGGGGTCAAAGCTGCGGGGCCCGGGGGCTGGCCCTTGGGGATGCGACGGGGCGACACGCACGCGGGCCGGGGGGGGAAGGCATGCAGGGATCCCCGCCTTGGCACACCGCTGGCCGGGGCCGCATGCATTTGGTAAAGAGCCGAGGGCTATACCTGGAGTCAAACTTTTTGCCATCTTTAAAGGTCCCATTGTAGTGGTAGCGAATGAAATCCCCCATCTGGACTTCCCGCAGGCAGATTTTGGGGATATAGTATCTGTCTATCACCACGTCTTCCAGGGGGCCGGGGTCGCCCAGCCCCAGGGCCCCCAGGATGCTCAGGAGGAGGACGAGGCTGCCCGGGGACATGGCGCTGGGAGGCTGCAGCCGGGGAAAGGCACAGCGAGGGAAGGCGGAGCGGGATGCTTGCCCAGCCCCGGCCCAGCTGGAATTTCTGTACACGTGTACCCCGGGCCTGGCGCCTCAGCCTCGCCAGCCAAGCTCCCACCACGAGTCGCCCCGTGGCATCGCCGGGGCAATTACCCCCAGT